AGAACGTCCTGGTTGACCTTGTCAAGAACTGTCTTTGTATCACCCATCCCATGGTGATGGGGAAATGATGCTAACGGTTGCCCCAGTGTCGATTAGAAACTTCACTTTATTACCCTTTATCGTAGCATCAACAAATATACCGGCTTCCCCTGCCTTCCGACTTACACCAGCTCTACTTGCATCTTTGTCTGCCCCCATACATTGTCTTGGAAAATAGGTGGGCTTTTCTTTCTCTTGAAACCTTAACTTCTTCTGCATATTTTGATAAGAGTAATAATCTTTCTTCATGTGGCCCTTTTTCTTGCAAAAGTTGCAAATTATGTTTGACGATGTACTCTTTGTAGATTTTGAGTTTTGTACTGCCATCTTCATTGATTTCATTTCCTCTTGCATGTCACGTACTACCTTCAACAGCGTGGTTACAGTGTCTTTGTCTGATTCCAATGGCTGGTTGGCCTCTCTTAAATAACCTTTATCTTCCTGGAGACGTCTTTCAGCAGAATTAAATGCATCTAACTGCACATCATGGCGTATCGCATCATTCAGGTTAACAGGCCTGGCTTGTTTGATGCGGATCCTCATGTTGCTGTCCTTCAATACATCAACAAGTTGCTCTTTCACAAGGGTTTCTCTGACATCTATCGGGGCAGTAGGATACGCGGGCTTGGGCAGCCTGCGTACATCCTGCCCTAACTCTGGTAATGTTTCAGAAGCCCGCTGTCTCCTTTCTCGTAATTGAGCCCTGTACAACTCTGTTTGGTTAGGTGGCAGAAACCAGTCCTCCAGTGACCTGGATAATAACCTGTAGTTACATTTTTCTCCTTGTGTAAGACTACCCAGCACAGCCTGTGCTCGACCTAGTAGGGAAACAGCTAAGTACATGCCTTTCTCAGAGGTTGACAAACCATTCAATTCAGCACATACATCAAAATGAGATTTGAAGTCTAACCATGAGGTAGTACCAGCAAACTTATCTGGCTAAACATGGTTGACATGTTGATCAACATTTGCCCTTACATCAGGTCTGCGTGTAGTAATATTTGTAAACAGAGGGTCATCCTGCTTATTTCTAATATAAGGTGTACTTGTTAAGGAAAACCTATCTGGAGTCTTGTCATCAGATCTACCTACGCTAATGCGGCTCTCAAGCTCTCTTCTTTGAGATATATCAGTATGTAGAGTGGTCGTCCTAACTAATTTAGATTTCGCACCAATTGCCTCATAATATTCATCATCTAAGGTTGTACGCCTGCTTTCAGGTAGACCTGAATCTTTAGCGGTCTTTCTTTTACTTTCATCGAAGCTAGCCTGAAGCTTACTTAGATCTCTTTCAATTTTAGTAAGGTCATTCATACTATCCATACTAACAAATACGATTTTTGGTAGCTACAGTTTGTACTAAAGTTAACAAGGAAATTATTAGAAATAAAATTAAGCACCCCAAATCCCACCGCTGCCACAAAATTTTGTAACGTGTCGAACGGAATATAAGATAGCAATCGGGGATCGTACCTTGTCGATTCTAGGTTTTGGGGGATGATTTGCAATATAATATAATTTTTCTTAATAAATGATTGACAAATGATAACAAAGGCCTGCAAAATATACAAATAAATGGCCAACCTTATCTAGGTTAATAATCACGACGACAATATTCAAAGGTGAATCAAATAATTACAGATCATTATGACAGTGGGTAGACTATCCCTAACGCTGGCAAACCTCGGACTGACGCTTGTACTGCAGCCTCATTCAGGACACAGTCAGTACAAGTGACAGCCCGTCAACTGCTGTGCACACTGTTAGCCTTATTCAGGCAGACACACTGCACACAACAGCCTGGTTGCCAGACAGGTCGACAAGACGGATTACAGCTGTGGTGGCTAACCTCTGTTGCTGGTTAGCCTCTGAATGGCTTGCCACTCGAAAAAAAACAACAGCCTTTATTTATTACTTTTCTTTTTAGCCTAGACCTTACTTATTTTATAAGGTCGACTTCTTTCGTAAGCTGACTTTATAGTCTCGCTTACTACAAGCGAGTGCAGTGATCGTCGCAAAACGACGCTCGTAACTGTGAGCTCTAACGACAACGCCTGGGCGAAGAGAAAATTCGGACTACTGCACATTCATTCTTTAGAATTTTTTGCTGCAGTAATTTTGACCCACAATGCATCACTTAGCAAAGTTTCGTTCTCGCGAGAATGACGGCAAATGTTCAACAAAAAGTTTTCCCGCTTTCATTAAATGGATACATATTGAAGACAAATTGTAAACGAAACTTTTTTCATTAACTTTTAGCACTGCTCAGCTTTTTCTTGGTATTTATAACTTACATACGACGTCATTCACGTTCACGTTCTTCACGGACAACCCTCACATAAGGTTAGATATTTTCAACCTAAATTTCACACGAAAAATTTCCTGTAAAATTCTGTATTGCACTGTTAAAATTTCCCTTTCTGAAAGGGTAGCAATAAGATATGAGTGATTATTCAACATCATGCGTGCTGTTTGAGACGAGGTGGTCCTTTAATATTTGTATGCCATGATTGTCTATGTGTTAATTTTAATTGGTTTCATACAGAAATAATGGTACAAAACGTGAAAGCAAGAAATCTAAAAAAAAATATTGTAAAGATACATAAAAAAGGTAACATAACGGAATACTATTACGTTTGTAGTTATAATGAAGCATCCAAAAAGATTTGCTAGACAACCATTACATATACAAGGTAGAGTACACAGTACACGCGTTCACTTAAGCATGTATTTAAAGTGAAACATAACTTGTACAGAGAGATGATTTTTTTTAAATAATGAAATTACTTCAAAAACTAAAATGCAATATACCAGAAGCACACACAATTCGTAAACTTTCGTCATAACATATTTATTCAACGTCATATCTTTGGAGTTTTATGAAGAGACTTACTTTCACATTCGACAGCTGACTTTTACATTTTAGTATATGGAGTTTGTATGTGTTTAAATTGTAAAAGTCAGTCGTCAACTGTAAAAGTAAGTCTCTTCATAAAACTCCATAAAGGGATCTATCAGACATAATTTAACAATTAATTCAAGTACTATGAATTTCTTCTGAAAAAAAATGCATCTTCAGTTAAACTCGTTTCGTACGAACACAAATATAGCGAATTCACGGTTATAGCGAAGATTTTCTGGGTCCCCGGTAAAATTCTTAACAAATATTTGTAAAATTTAACGGCTATAACGAACTCTGATATAACAAATTTTCGGATATAGCAAACTGATTTTGAGTCCCGTTGAGGTAAAATATAGTTTAATTAACATCTTTTATAACGAACTTTCAAAGATTTGCTTTTAGTATTTGTATATAAAATTTAACGCATAAGAAAACCGTAGTTATCAAAGGTATGTTTTGTGTTAGTTGCTTTCCTAACATAGTTGGTAGTTATACTTGAAGGAAAACATGCATATTGCGAATTTGCAATATATGGTTATACGAATTCGTTACACAAATTACGGATATAGTATATTCACAGTTCCCCAGAACATTGCTATACTGACACGCAAAAGAAACGCAACACCCGACTTTAGGGGGAAATAAATATGTAAAGTAAAGAATTTTGTATCTTAAAATTATGAATATCTTCATTTTGGTAAACATCGGTAATTTAACGGTTGAACGATTTCCATACCATAACCGGAAGTCAAGTTTGAGTCTGCTTAACATAAATCAAAAATTGCATGTTTAACAAATCATTTGGCAATATTCTGGAGTTTTGAGGGTTTTTTTTACTGTTCATCATAAGTAATGCAGCATTATTTCAAAAAATAAACTCTCCTTTCGTTTCCCGTAACGATGCTAAGGCTACTTGAAAATGGTATGTGTACGCATTTCCATGGCTCTAGCTGGAAAATTTTTTATGTAAAGTTGATGGAGAGTTGCTAATGCAAAATTTCACTACATTAAGCCTCAAAAGGGTCTTACGTATCATATGCATAAAGGACATCCTTGTACCGGAAGTACAAGGGTGGCCACACTGCTCTAAATTAGAGAAAATTCGACCTAATCATCTGAAAAACGGGCATTTGAAAATGCCAAAGGATAATTCCTTCACTCAGATCTCGATATTAATGAACCTATTGTATCGTAGAAATTAAGCTGCAATTGTTGTTTAGGGCAGTCTCGCGCGTTCTACTAGAATGGCTGGAAGGGGGGTGTTTTAACAGTAATATTTTACTTAGTAAAGTGAACAGATAAACATTTATGATTTTTATCAAATCTCTGATGTTCTGAAAAGTGAGTTAAGCCTTACTTTATTCGCTTTTAAAAATCATGATATAAAAAATCAAACATTTGTAGACTACTGCTAGTTGCGTTTCTTTTGCGTGTCAGTATATAAACGAGTTTTACTGTATATCTTAATAAAAATCCAAATTATTTAGAAAATAAAATTATAATGCATGGTTCAAATTGAAAGATCTTTTTATCAATACACATATTTTTTTCAATGGTTATATCCCTAACATATGAAGGTTAAAAAGCATTTCTTATAATTTTTTGATATCAAATTGTTATGTGATGCACCACTTTGATTGCGAGAAATCATTTTCAAAAGTAGGGTAATTACAATGGTTAAAAATTGATAGGATAAATGTAAAGCATAATTATCATTCATTACTATTGAAACTTTAAAAAGTATAATTGATTATGCAAAAATATATTTCGATTAAATGTGAAATTGTAAAATGTTTATTAAAAAAATCAAAACATTTACGGGTAAATAATCCTTTTGATGAATTTAGTCATTTTTATCTTACAGAATTTTAATTAAGCAAATGAATTATAGCACAAATATTTTTGTAAACATTATTTAACCTGATGCATCATAAAATGTATGAAGTATACCTGATATAAGATCTGAATGCATTGCATATGTGTTGATTTCTAGTATTTTGTATCAGAATATGTATACAAATTGTCATTACGTAATTTTCTTTTAAAAACTCTCATAATATTACAAATATGGAGGAACATGTCCATAGGCATAATGATAGGCATCATTACCAGATTTGTCCTTTGTTCTAATGTCAACACCGAGAGCAAAAAGATGAGTCATTGTCTTACAACTATGAGCTGCATAATGAAGTGGTGTACACCCTGCTAGGTTTTGTCGATTAAATAGCTCTTGAAGTTGTGTACACCCTGCTAGGTTTTGTCGATTAACTAGGTCTTGAACCAAACGGTTATCGGATTCTATAGGTAAAAGTTCTTCAAAAATAAAGTGCTCATGTGATATTAAGCATATATAATGCAAGAAGGTATTTCCTAGAATATCTGAACCTGATAGAAAATTCAGATATTCATGCATTTTATCTCGTTTTGTACAAATGTTTTCAAATATTCGATTTCTATCTCTCCTTAAAAACAGAAGTGGCCAAATTTCCAACTGAAAGATGCTTCGATCGAAAATTGTAGATCTACACCATGCATCTAAATCCTCTGCCTGACTGATCCAGTTAAGTTGACTCGTTTCTTCACGTTCTCGAGAGAGGCAAGGTATCGTGCTTATGTGCAAGCTCCACAATTCATCGGGAAGTTTCGCTAGAATAATGTTATACAGCTCAAATATCTTAGCGTGATTTAAAGCTGCTGTAACTATTTTGTCACATGCATTCGAACTCCAGTACACTTCATTTCTCAGTATCACTCGTACAGTATCATGGTTGCCATGATTAAAAGCTATTTGCAGTGGGCTTTCTCTATCTTTATCTTGTAAACATGCATATTCTCCGCAAAACTGTAATAATTTCACTACATAAACAGTATCTCCTTTCTCACACGCTTTTTGAAGTTCTGCAAAACTTACAGTTTTAAGCATTTTTTTTGTTTGAAATATTTGGGTTATCCTGTAATACCTATTGTGAATCGCGTAAAAGAAAGCAATGTGTCCTTCTTTGTCAATTGCTTCTAATAAATCAGACTGATCAAGTAGTCTGTCAACCCAGTGTACGTTTTCCATTATTACTGCCAGATGGAGCAGTGACTGTCCCTCTTCATTTCTGAAATTAAGCACGATATTCTTATATTTGTCCAAAAACCGATCAATGTCTTCTTTTCCTATTAAACGTCGTAATAAATACATATAATTACTTTGATGAAAATAAGCACCTCTTTCGAGCAGTTCGTCAGCTATGTTATAATTACCATTTGTAATTGCCATTGTTAGAGCATTTAATCCTTCACTTGTTTCGTCATTAATATTTGCCCCATATTTTAATAATTCCTGAACAAAAATCTTATCAGTTTGGCAACCACACAAAATTAATGGTGTCAAATCATTATCATCTCTTGCATTCACAATTGCGCCATTGGCTAATAAGAAACAAAGCATACATTGATTGCCACTTTTTACAGTTATATGTAAGGGTGTCAATCCAGTTTTGTCTGTAATATTAACATTTTCACCACTTTTCAAAAGTGTTGTCACTATATGCGTATGTCCCATAAAGCAAGCTAAATGAAAAGGGACGAAACCTTGTATGTCTCTAGCGTTGATGTTCGCACCTTTCTCTACAAGTAGGTTTACTGTGAAAAGATTACCACTTATGCATGCTATATGCAAAGGCGTGTGACCTCTTTTGGAGCGTGCATTAACACTGGATCCATGATGAATAAGTGTTTTGACTATTTTTGGAAAATTTCCTGCACAAACCATATGTAAAGGGGAACAATTGTTGATGTCAGCTGTATTTATCTTGATTTTATTCTTAATGAGGATATCTATTACTTTTTCAAGATTCTCTGAAACCTCATGATTAGAATGAAGAAACTTTTCGGATTTAACATTGACTAGAAACGGAAAATTAAAGGTGTGAGTTTTTACCTTTGTTTTAGGCATATCTTTAGCTAAATATAGATCGTAGGAAAAAACATTCTTTATTCTACCTTCAATTTCGTCTATTTCATTGTAAAAGAATTCCTCAAAATCTGTTGTTTGTAATGCGTAATGAAGAGCTGATCTTCCTAAGTGATCAAGAGCATTTATTGTTGCATTGTTCCTGAGTAGAATTGAAACACATTTTTCGCATAACTGATGTGAGGCGCAATGAAGAGGCGTTTGTTTATCATCTGATTGAATATTTGGAATTGCTCCTTTGGAGATCAGTTCAGTAACAAGATTGGGATGTGCGTGTGCACAGCTAAAATGGAGAGCTGAAAAACCTCTGGAATTTTGAAAATTCACCTTTGCTCCGTGATCTGTAAGTATGGAAATAATATTTGTATGCCCTTTTACGCAAGCTTTCAACATACCATCCTGTATTTGTTCCTTCTTTATTTCCTTCATTAGTAACAGTTTCAATATACAACAATTTCCATGAAAACAAGCAAGAGAAAAGGACGTTTCACCATTCTCAGAAGTTATGTTGATATCACATCCATTTTCAATAAGAAACTGAGCAGTTTGTATGTGTCCTGCAGAAATAGTTTTGTGTATTAGTGTCAATCCATGGGTGTCACTTACATTTATATCTGCTCCATTACGCAGCAATTGATCAACAATAGCCGTAAAATCATTGATGCATGCAAGAGAAATCGGTGTTTCTCCATCGTTATCTTTTAGATTAACATCAGCGCCAAAGGAAAGTAAAGTTCGAATGACTTCTTCATTTCCCTCTTGACAGGCCTCATGAAGAGCTGTAATACCATCTTGATCCTGGTAGTTCACAGATGCTCCATGTTGAAGAAGATATTGAACAATATCGGTGTGTCCATACAGACTGGCCACTACCAATGGTGAAACTCTCTCATTAAAAAATTGAAATTCTGAAGTTAAATCAGCTGATGAGATCACTGCAATCTGTATCAGAAATTCTAATATGTCTAACTTCCCAGTAATACAAACGAGCATAGGGATTGGAATTAGCGTAACTAGACAATGTAAGTCATGACTGGAATCCGTAAGGTTTGCGCCACAAAATATGCAGTAAGTATCAAATTCCATTCCAAAAGCCACGAAATCACTAATATTGCTAAAGATTTCAGTACCATAATACTTCAAACACATTTGCACAATGTGTAAATTTTCACTAAGAATAGCTAAATATAGTGTGCTTGCTCTTTGAGCAAACAATGTTTCATACAAAACCACATTCTCTGCATCAAACAGTTTTTCCAAAAACGTTGCCCAGTTGTATGCAATTGCACAATGAAGAAACGTTATTCGAGTTTTCTCTAACAAATTCTCCTTCGAAAATGAGGCGTATGTATCAGTGTTACTTGATGATAAACTAGAATTCGTTTTTAAAAGAGCTTCCTTTAAAACATTTCCATCTCCTAACAGGTCAAACAAACACGTTTCAATTTGTTCATTTGGCAGACATGGATTTTTGAATATATTTCTTAGATTTCCTTGATTAATGTCCTTCTCTATTCTTTTAGCATAAAGTGATAAAAATTTGTTGTCCAATTCTAAAAGAGATAGGTCTTGTTTGTCATCCAAATCCTCTTGTAGTCTTCCAATAGGTCTTAATCTGTTTTGAAATATTTCCGTCGATGAGTGAAGTATCAATGTTTCAGGCCATCGTTTTCCAAAATGCCATACAATGACTTCTAAAAGTTTAGAATGTATCAGCGAAAATGAGCAACCAACCTTTTTTACGTATTTACCTTTCAGCTTTTCCAGTGCTAATCGTAAATTCGATGAATCAATATCTGTGTCACAAGCATTGAAAATTTCTTGTAGATGTTCATCTGCTGTAGCTTTTCTACTATTTATCAATAAATTCAGTTTTTCCTCTGCAAGGGCACAACAAACTAAAGCGCAGTATTCATGAATCGTTTCTGATCTTGGATCCCTTACCATAACATCAAGCTTAGAAACCAACTCAATGAAAGGATTTTCAAAAAAGGCTCCCATGCTTGCTGAGTCAATAAATGCATTGCCATATATTTTGCAAAGGTATGGAAAGCAATCAAAATTCTTCTTTAAATCCAAATGAGATAAGTCTATTTCATGTTGAACGTGAGCAGACAATATTTGTTTTTTCTCACTCACAGATAACTGATTTTCATGATTTTCTAAACTGATTATGGAATTGGAGAAAATCTTTATCATACGAAATGCCCGAGTAAGACTTAGAAAAAAACGACATGAAACTAAAAGTTTTGATTTAACTTGGTCTTCCTTTTGTTGAAAATTCAAACATGTTTGGATGTCTTTCGAATACTTCACCCAAACATTAGCAGCTTGTTCGTCAACAATAAATTCCCCACATGGATCATCAATCACAAAGACTTGGGGATTTTTTCGGTCGTAATAGCTCGTTATTTCATCGGGGCGGTTAATAGGAATGATAGAAAATCCTTGTTTTCCCATTTTTAGGGCTATGTGATGAATAATAGCTGATTTTCCGGACCCTGGATGACCAACCAACACAACACATGGATGTTCTTTGATAAAGTTTTCAACAACTTTGGACGCTTTAATTTCTACAAAAACGTCTTCTTCTTCTTTCCAGGACACGAGTTTTTCTTCAATTAACTCTAAATATGAATACAAAGAATGTATAGTTTCACCAAAAATTAAACATTTACTACGAGGGCTATATGCCCTGAGCACCATTACATACAACACAGATATCATATGGCATAAAGCTTTTCTTTCGCTCATGGTGGAATCTTTAATGTATTGAAATCACTTTATTTTACCACTTTTCATTTCAATTTTTCATCGTAAGAAGCAGGAAAACAAGGGCTTTCGAGACACTGCATTAAAAATGAATGATTAAAAATCAGTAAACTAGAGTGAAATTAAACGTTTCTTTGATATTGCTGTAAAACTTGTTAAGAATCCAAAAGAAATATTCACTGAAATTTGTGAAATTTTCAGCAACCAATGTGTAATTTAAATAAACAATAATGATATAATGGGCATCAAACAGGAGTAAACCGTCCTTGGCGACAACGACTCACAATAACCAATGTTCTGTTTGCCAAAATTCAACATATTATCACTGATGATGTTTGATTGATTGACACGTGACAAATTTGATAGGCATCCATTTGGGAGTAGTTCGCACTATTTTAAAGAAACACTTGACATTAAAAAAGCTTAGTACTCAATGGTCACCATATGTTTTGAAAAATGAGTAAAACTGTCAGCGTGAAAGAATATCTGAACGATTATTTTTAAAAATCAGAAAGTGTAGTTTTCCACGTTTGCCAGAAATTTAAACAGATAATGAAACTTGAAATTACTTTAAACCCTCCGAAAAAAATTACTATAAGATTCATTTGACAAAAATAGAAAAGTCTGAAAAGAGCAAAGTTTTGGAAGAGGATGAAGACAGTTTTATATGCCATTTTCCTGAATTTTAGTAGTCTTGTTGTTCAAAGTCTTATTTGGGAAGGCAGTACAATTTCTGGAGGAGTTAAGAAATTTTCCAAAAAAATCGAAGGTTTATGAGAGGAAGGAAGTAGAATCAGGAATCCACTACATTTAATTTCTTCATGGCAGCGTCCAAACCCACACTCCCTGAAGAGTAAATGTGTATGGGGGTAAACAGAAAGTTAATGTTTGTCACACCAACACTATTCGCCCGATCTGTCACGCTGTGATTTGGTTCATTTCTCAAACTTGGTAAAAAAAAAAAACACCTTTCAGAAAGAAGAAACAAATCCAGGAAATCATAGGATCTGTCATATTCCAGTACTATACGAAGGACAATACTTAAAAAATATTTGTATTTCCAATGTCTTTGTTCGAGATAAAATTAAAAATAGTTAATGTACTTTATTTCTTCACAAATATACTAGATCATCAATAAGAGTGGTTAAAAAAATCACGTGCAGGGTAGGACAAATAGAGACAAGAAGCAAGCTTGTAGCACGTCAATTGGCGGAATAAATTACTTGAAAATATAAGGAATAACAATCAAATATTTTGATTTCATGACGAATGATCAATCGATTGGCTTGCTTGATAATTTCTGCATAAACGACTCCGACGATTACGCACATTATCACGCAACACAATCGATTGATCACATAATTAAATCAAACAATTAGACAGTTATTCCTTAAATGAATTCTAACAACAATCAGAAGTTAGAAAAAAATGCTGCTGACATGTGCTTTAATTAAAGGAGAATATTTAAGTTAAATCAGTAAGACTAAATCATTGAAAAGCTTTTTTTTGCTTCTTTCCGAGCACCGACGACATTATTTATTGAAAAGCCCTTGTATAGTCATTTTTTGTTTAAGATATTAGAACCCATAATTTTCTGTTCTGAAAATAAATTGATCGTTTCTTGGAAGTTTGACAGTTATTACTGCATTTTAGTTACAACTTCAAACTTACTCTTAGAGTAGAACGAATAATTCTGTGTTTTTATATGAAATTTATTCATAAACATAGATCACCTCTAATATTTCCAGGGATGGTTTCTTGCTGCACTAATCTCAATTGTTTAATTTCCAGAAGAAGCTCCAAAAGAAGTTCTCTTTCAGATTCATCGATTGAAGAAATTCTTAATGTTTTTGTTTCATTAAGCAATGAAGAGCCTCCAAGTCTTCCAATAGCCTGAAAATATTTGATTTCAAAGCTGGGGCCAGTTTCACAAAGCTGTCTTAAAAGTATGAATGTGAAATCTGTCTTAAGACCGAAAATTAACTTAAAATTGCACCACAGCTGTTTCACAAAACTATCATATCTTAATGATAATCTTGAGATCTATCAAAATCTTAAGACAACTAGATACATTTCTTAAGTCTAAAGTAAAACTGGTTACAGTATATATTTTGGCTAAAAATCTAAGGATATTTAAAGATAAACGGTTTATAGTGATAGAACAATCCTTTGGACTATATTAGGTTAGACGGAACGATGCCCCCACCCCCACCCCCCAGTTATAGATTGCCAATAAATAAAGGATAGAAAACCTAAAATGTACCAATTTTATGTTTTTCCACTTTATTCATTTCAAGGCATTTTTCCTTTGCTCGTGTCCCCTCTCAGCTGAAATTGCACCTTCTAATTGCTTCTTAAGGCCATTTATATACATTTATGTAAAATCCATACATTACATATAACTTTATTCAAAATTGTTGAATTTGAATTCCCTACCCAGCAAGAATATCAAAATAACTACAACCAAGCGTTGCTGATTTAAACATTTTTTAAAATGCCTAAAGTAATTCCAGATCTGGTGTTCGAGACTCATGTAGTTTATTTATTGATAGGGTATATTAATATCTTTGATGCTGTATGTACATGCTCTCTTGCTTCTTTTTTAACAGTATTCAAATCATAAAATTTTGATTGGAAATTGTTTTTTCGTATCTTTTCTTCATCTGTTAGCATTGATATTATGTTGCAGTAGTTGGCGCGTTTTAAAGACACCTACATCGAATTTTATGAACGAACATTGAACGAACTTCGAAATTTGGTGTTTCTAAAAAGATTCATTGCAATAAGCATTTATTTATTGCAAAGATTCAGATATTCTAAGAGCCTTAATTTAAATAGACATGTCATAAATTTCGTCTGTAACTAACTACTGTTTTATGAGCAAGAATATATTTTAACAAATTATATTCAATTTTTAATGGTGATGAATTTGCTTCAAATGTATTTTTTTTTACCCAACTCCCGACACACAAACACACCCTGATTACATTTAAGTTGATGCAATAAAATGTTTTTGTTTTTTTTCCCAAGGTATATCTGAAAAATTCAGGAAAGGCAACTAAACTTTGTGCATATTACACATTTTTAAGAAAAAAAAATCCCTGTGAAATTGATTGATTGTATATTTTTTAACGTCCCTTTCGAGAATTTTTCACTCATATGGAGACGCCACCACTTGCCGGTGGAGAGCTGCAAATTTTGTCCTATGCTCGGCACTCAGGGCCACTGAGCAGGGAGGGATCTTTTTCGTGCAAGCACCTACTGTGACACGGGACCTCGGTTTATACGGTCTCATCCAAAAAACCGGTCTCCATGTTCCACAGTGGGATTCGAACCCGCTACGTAAGGATTGACTCCTTGCTTCGCGACTCTAGAGCAGGCGCTCTAACCACTGCGCTACGCGGGCGACCTGTGAAATTGAAGAATGAAATTTGTATTAAGATTTGTCATAAAATTTCTTATACTTAACATGGTTTTGTGAAACAGCACTGAAAAGTCTTATGATTTTCATAAGTCAGATCTTAATATGATCGTAAGATCTATCTTAGGACAAATCTTACGATTTTTGTGAAACTCAGCCCCTGGTTAATACACAAGTCCTGTATGTTTGAAATTGAAATTGTTTTGATGATCTTGATCTGGACTCATTTTTATGAAGAATTTTGAAGTTCTGTCTTTTACTGTGGTCTCATCAATATTCGTTGAGCACCAATTTTCGAGGATTTCGTTGTTGAGCCGACCCATGAATTTAAATGTTCATTAAATAAAGAAAAAGGGTATTCATTTGCATAGGTAATGCTTTTCTCCATGAAATTACATGTGTACGTGTCCTCGAAAACATCTGTTTTACAAAATCCACAAAAATTGATGACAACGAAAATTGATTAAACCACAGTATATAAAGAATCGGCCAAGGTTTATTATTTGAAAAGAAGGTCAAACTTTCAGGTCTAGTACAAAAACACAATATCATGCATTCAGAAATATATTGTCACGGGTACTTTGCTCAAAATAAGATTTCAGAAAGTTGTTAGATGGATTACATTTCCTCCAGTCAATCTTTTTTCGTGTAAGGTAACATATTTTTCTTCTGTTTTCAAATAATTTTTAGATTCTTTTAAACAGCTTAAAATAGTTTTGCTTACCCCCTCTACATCTGTCCAGCTTGAATTAAACTCATTTGTGGCCATTCTTGCATCTGCTGAATGGGCAACTGTGTTTCTGTAAAATTTTATTCTTGCCAAATCAGCGCCAACACTAACGTCTTGTTGATTGGGTAGACAATCAAAGCCTCCTGGTGGTGCTAGTGTACAGGGACTCATGTTACGTAAAAGGCAGATTAACAGTGTAACGTCAAAGTCCTTTGACGAAGGATTGTTAACTAAAACAATTGAGAGAGAGAGAAGTCTTAAATCTTTTATCTTTGATATTTTAACTGACACAGGAAGTGCAAATACTTTATAATCTACTTACGTATTTTTAAAATTACTAATCTATCATAAAACATTATCTTTGGATTAGCGAAGGAAGTTGTTTGGGATTGAAAGGAACATGTTTAAACACATTCTTTCACATTGTCTTCAATATACCTCCAAAAAGTGTGTCCCACTGGACCTGGTTTATTATTTTTCTAGATTTCAAGTTTGACAGCGTAGTTTTCTGAGTCACTAGGTCAGAAACAAGGTTACTTGGAGGATGAACTGTATCAAAATGGACTCTTAGGGCCTTTGGTGCTCTCTTCAGAACCAGATTGACAAATCGTAGAAAGTTGGTTTCCTCTGGTGACACAGTAGGCGTGGTTCCTGTGGGCGGTGCTCCTCTATTCGGAGGTACAGTAGAAGTAGATGAAGC